AAAGAAAGAAAGAAAGAAAGAAAGAAAGAAAGAAAGAAAGAAAGAAAGAAAGAAAGAAAGAAAGAAAGAAAGAAGAGGGGAAGATGCTGGACGAATCAGCAATACCATGCACCAGGGATGGCCAACGTCTCAAGCCAGTTTGCTCCAAGTCCAAGTCATTCACCGTACGAGGTCGAATCAACCCAGGATGCAGCGCAACATGTTACAAGAGGGACGCAAAGAAATTCAGAGAATAGGTTCAGAGAAGAGCCTTAAAGGAATTCTGGGAGTTGAAGTCCACGAAAGATGCCAAGGTTGAGAAATGTTACTTTGGAAGAAGATTTGGTCCCTCTTCTGCCCCATGTTGGTTACTTTTAAAACACAAACAATCCTCTTACCATGGTCCTGACACGTGGTCGTTGCAAGAGGCTTCCTCAGAGCTCGAGTTGTTCCTTGTGTACACGGTAAACAAATTGGCCTGGAGGGGAGAATATAGAACATTGAATAATAGAGTTGGAAGGGACCTAGGGGCTTTTCAACCATTTTCACCCATTGTACCACTTTTAGGATAGGGCAACATCTGAGTACCGCCAGTCGCCTAGCAAAGTGTCAAAAACCTGATGACCCCTCCCCCCAAAAAAGGGAAAAAAGTGATAAAGTACAGGTAGTCCTCAACTTACAACAGTTCGCTTAGTGACTGTTCGAAGTCACAATGGCACTGAAAAAAGTGCCCCCCAAGCCACAGCTGAGCAAGACACCTGCCTGCCCGCCCGGCGGCACTCTTCCTCCTGTCCGAGGTTTTCATTGTTGTGAGCATTTCTGTTGAGGATTGGCAGCGGGGGTGGGGTGGGGTATGTGTGGTTTTTATTCCCCCCCCATCTGCTGGGTGGTTGCAGCAGGATTTGGTCACTTCACATGACCCTGGGACACTGTGACCGTCATAAATATGAATCAGTTGCCAAGCATCTGAATGTAAATCACAAGACCCTGGAGATGCTGCAACATTCCAGCTGATCGGTGCTTCTTCTGGGCTCAGCAGATGCGCCAGGATCAGCGCCGAGCTCCAGCTGGAGCCTGGCGCTGATCCTGGCGCTTCCGCTGAGCCCTGACAGCCCTGCAGCTCCAGCCGTCTCTCGCTCAGGCTTGTGCGGTGCTGCCACCGGTTCAGCTCATTCCCCTCCCCCACTACCACTTTTCTAGGATGGTCGCATACCACCTGCCAGGTGCCAATGTACCACAGGTGGTACCCGTACTACTGGTTGAAAAGCCCTGTTCTAGTCCAACCCCTTGTTTGAGCAGAAGATCCTATTTCAGGGGTCTCCAACCCCCAGTCCGTGGACCAGCACCGGTCCGCAGCAGGCCAGCAACTGGGCCATGCAAACATGCGAAGCCCCATCCGCAGGATGCAGGCAGCACGCAAAACCACACCTCCTCCGGTCCATGGAAAAACCTTTCTCCGTGGAACTGTTCCCCGGTGCCCAAAAAGTTGGGGGTTGCTGCCTGATATCATTCCAGAAAGATGGCTGTCTGGTCTTTTTTTTTAAAGCCTTCAGTGATGGAGCACCCACCACTTCTGAAGGCAATCAAGAAGTGCAAGAGAACATCAGCTGGGCCTCATTATGACTCTGGAGTTTCTGCCCAGATCTTTTTTTAATGGGATTATTCTTCCCTTAGGCGCTATAAGTCTTTTATGTATAACTTCTTCCAAAGTAAAATAAATCAGGAAGCCCCGTGCCTTGCTGAGGGATTCTGGGAGTCAAAGTCAACACATCTTAAAGTTCCCAAGTTGGGGAAAAAAAAACATTGATTTAAGACATATCACCCCACCAATTTGCCTTTTCAGTATGAAACAACCAGCTCCTCTTTGATAATAGAAGACTGAGATTAAAAACACCACACATTTTGTAGAACTAAATCAAAAACCAATGTCTTGATTCTAATATCCCTTTGAGACAAAACTGAAAGTGCTCCGCCATCTCTCTCTCTCTTCCTGCGAGATCTCACCTTGCATTGAAACTGAATTCAACTTTTTCCTTTAGTTTTATCAGGGCGATGTCATAATCATAGAATTCAGGGATCCCGCGATGTTTCAGCTTTCCAATCTGGTAATCTTTGTGGACTTGAATTTTCTCCACAGAATACTGTTGCCTGGCTAGGAAATAGCAAAGCAAAACATAGACTTAATAATACTAATAATACTAATAATATTAATAATACTAATACTAATACTAAGACGTAAGGTTTTTCATTATTTAAGACATTTTAATAATGACATTACATGTCTACAAGAGACTCATATTGTGGCTAAAGATCAAAAATTATTATTGAACTCTAAGCTTGGAGAGTTGTTTGTTGCATCTGCCTTAAAAAAGAGAGCTGGTGTTGCAGTATATATTAAAAGACACCTTTCACCTATTTTAAAAGAAGTCGATAAAGAAGGAAGATTTTTATTTGTGGAAATAAATTTAAATGGAAGAAAGTGTTTAATAATAGGGGTTTATGCCCCTAATCAACTTTCAGCCCAGAAACAATTTTATAGACAATTGCATCAGAAAATTGTGGCTATGGATTATAATTCTTTGATTGTTATGGGAGATTGGAATGG